ACAGCCTCTGCAGCGCCAGTTTGTTCCCCGGCCACTGGCGAGGGTCCCACAAAAAAATAAAAAATTAAAAAATTAAAAAATGAATATATATATATATGAACTCTCTTGGACCTCATGTAATCCCAGAGGACTCCCCAAATAGCCAATGAGAAGAAGGGGGTGGCCTCCTCCAAAATGATTGCATCATTTTGAGGGTAATGCACTTTGTTGTGTAGGTGGGGTATGTCAGAGGTCCCATTTTTTGACTGTCCTGTAGATGTCATTATCTTTTCATGAAGAGACCTCTGTGATGAAGCAAGCCTAATGGGTTCTCCTTTAATGACTCAAGGGAAAATGGAAAGCTGGCTGCATTGGGTCATGAGCTCAGGGCCTGTGAACTCAGCCTCCATTTACAGAATGACTGTTGCTGTCAGTGACTGCTCTCATTGTTTTAGCAGCAGGCTTGCACTAGGATGCCATGGGAAATTTATGGTCATCCTGGTTGGTTTATACTGGGAGACATGACAGGAAGTTGCTAAACCTGTGTGATATAGAAGTCTAGGGAGGGAGACACTAATGGAATAACTGCTATTTGGTCCAATTCTAGAGCATTTGTGTAGTGGCAGGATGGCACAGTGCAGGTTTTCTATGATACGAGCAGACCGGGTAAAGGAGAGTCCTGGAGCCCTCGGTGCCTTTCTCAGGCTTTTATTGAGCTTTTACATGTAGTGCAGCAACCAGGTACTCGGCAGGCAGGGGTACTGGGGGGGCAGGAGGCCTCCTAGCCCCCAGGAAATCTTCACTCTAGGCTTCTCTAGCCTTCTTCCTCCCCTTCTCTCTCCTGCCTTTCTCCTGCCTCTGCTTCTCTTGGCAGATACCTCAACACTGAGCCATGGCCCACAGAGGTAAATAACACAGCTTACAATGATGTAAGAACTGCAGGTGCCCCATCAGGCAGGGCAATGCTAAAGGTGGGAGGGCAGAAAAGCCTGAAAACCATTTACCCTATAATTTGTTTCCCCAAAGTCAGTAATTTGGGGGTATTTTGTGACTGAGTAAGCAGTTGCAGTTGAGGGGCATGTACCATACTGGCATGTTTTCTCTCACTGCTTCTTCCACCTTCTCACCACACAGTCCCTGTGAACATCACAGAGAAATTTTCCAGAGTGGGAAAGGTGTAGATTTTTTTTTTTTAAAGATTTATTTATTTATACATACAAGCACTGGGAACAGTCAGAGGAATGGGAGGGTGAGAGAATTCACCAGAGCCAGAGTGGAGAGCAGAGCAGGCAGAGTAACAAAGTACACAGCTGAGGGGAGCAGTGGGCAGCAGGAGAGGTCTGCGCGCCTTGTGGGACCCTCGCCTGGTGGCTGGGGATTGAACTGGTGCTGCAGAGGCTGCGAGCAGCTTCGCAACCTAGCGCTCAACCGCTGCGCCACTGGGGAGGCCCAAATGGTGTAGATATCTAAAGATGATTCCCAGTAGGCATACACAGTAGTCTTGACCTGGGAAGTGTGGAGGAGGAAATGGCCTCAGGACCACAATAGAAAGTCATGATTCTAATTCCCATGAATTTGGATGTCCTAGGCAGATCCCATTTGAGAGAACTGTGGAATACACCTTTATGTCTCAGAACCACAGTATTGTATTTGCAAAGATCTGAGGAACCTGATTTAAACTCAAGGACAGATTCTGAGTGACTTCTAATTTCACTCCTGATATGAGATGATGAGGGTAGTTGCAGCTCTGGAAAGCACTTTCCAAATCAAGACAGGATTTCAGGAGATGCCTGTTGGGGACTGAATCCTCCTTCCCCAGTCCTTCAGTTCTCACTAAGGAGAATTCCAAGGTGATTAAAAGAAGTGATGCACATGTAAATTTCAAGGTTCCACAAAGTTTAACATTCTCCTAGTATTTAAAGCAATATTTATTGTTTCCTATCATTTACATACATATATATTTTAAGTGTAGTTGTTTTATAAATGTTTGGTAATATTAACATCAAAAGATGGGGAATATTCCATCAACCCAATAAGAACACTCTTATGGATGCCCAATTAGTATTGACTAATCTGTTGTAGGTCCCTTTGCTTGCCTTTTCAGAATGTAATGTAAAAGAACCAATATATAGCCATAAGTCATTTGTGATACATAATGCTTTTTTTGTTAAAGTGCTTATTAATTCCTTGCAGTGTTCTGAGTTTAAAATTTTGACAGTGTTCAGTTAAGTAGGTGACACACATTAGGTCTTCAAAACAGATTCTGTACTTTCTCATTTGTATGATGTCAGGAATGATTGGTAGGGATATCAAAGGAGAGCCTAGCCATGAAATGCTAAGAAAGTACATCAGCATTAAAAAGTGGACAAAGGTTTTCTTTTTTTTCTTAATAAAACTCAAAGCTATTACTTGTATCTTCCATATGTATACTCGAAGTCTAAAAAATAGGGAAATGACACGTGACACGTAAGGTATTACTCAAAATGATACCCTCTCTATGCAGCTCACCTCAATTATTCCTTTGATAATTATCTTTGTTGTCATGCCAATTTGTACTTTATTTTTTATTTTTTTAATTTTATATATTTTTTTACATCATTTTTCATTTATGCACAATGTATGCATTTTCATCTTGGTTACAATCCCCATACAATTCCCACCCCACTTTCTTTTGATCCTACTCCCTCTCCCCACCCCACCCCCCAGTGTGTCTCTGGTTTATATTACTCAGCAATCAAAAAAGATAAACACATGCCATCTGCAGCAACATGGATGGAGCTAGAAGGGATCATGCTCAGCAAAATAAGCCAGAAAGAAAAAGAAAAATACCAGATGATGTCACTCATAGCAGGAATTTGGAAAACCTAAATAAGGGACCAGGAAAAAGACTAATTATAATAAAGTAAAAATCAAAATCAACAAGCAACTATAAACCTTTGATAATTATCTTTAAACCTCCATAGCTCTTTTTGGTGTTTCCACCAAGAGGTCTGTGGAGTTGAGGAATAAATTCAGGATGGTCTAGAATGGTGTGGATGAGCATAACCTTTTTCTCAAACTTGGAGGAACTCCAGGGTTTACTGGGGTATATATTGTGTCAGTCAGTATAGAAGCAAAATAAAAATGCCAAATACTATAAAACTTGAAATAAAGGTAAATTAAAATCCTCCTAAGTGTAAAACACAAATACCACAAATATGAGACCCAAATCAATGAGAAGCCTCAAGTTCCAGATACCTATGTCCAAACTCATGATTGCATATTATATATAGAAAACAGCAAAACCAAAGATGAATCATGCCTATCTTTATGGGAAATCTTTACTGTAAATTACAGGACTCATTGCCCTCTTCTGCCACGCCCAAGCAGCTCCTCAAACATTGTTTAAGATGTATTACATATAAATGATTAATAATGACATCCTTACTCACTGAGGCCCCACCCTCATAGAAAAGATCAACAATTGAACTTCGAAAAACCTGGGGGATAGGGGAACTCACTTCTTGTGCATTTGAAAACTCAGTTAAAACTGAGAGTCAATCTGTGTATGTGGGTTCTGCACTGCAATTTCAACCAAACAACATATGGGGCAGAATAATGGATAGAAAATTCTATGTATAAGTGGACTCCTACAATACAAACGTGTACAACAATCAACTGTATACATAACCCTTCTTCCCTTTTATCGCATGTCATTACTTTCCCTCAAACCCTTTATTCCTATCTCTCTTTTCCCACAAAAAATATCAGCATCAGGACTGCAAGAACTTGTTGCATGCCCCTATATTCAACTCCTATATAAAGTGCCTTGATTACTTATGCTCAGTTTGGTATGTTTTGAATCTACAGTTTCTGGCAGATGACACATGTTGAAAAATTAGCATCAAAGTATAGTCTCTGAACAAGAAATGCTTGATTGGAATAGTCCTGTTTTTCTCATTTGCAAGGTTTGTGTGCTCTCACAATTTACCTAAACTTAGAGGCCTTGGTTGAATTATAAAGGAAATATTAAAGGTATGGTGTACTTTAGTAAGAATTGAATTTATGTATTTACACTGAGGTATTTTATCAGTAAGCCGAAAGAAATATGTTAGTGTTTAGGTAGTGAATAAGAAAGACAAAAGCTGTTCAGGGTGCTGACCTTGCATTCTCTTATATAGAAGAGAAAAATGCCAAATACTTTCATCATCAGACAGAGTTATTCAGTGACCACTACAGATCAAGATAACTATATATCTAAGTAGTGGTAGAAGAGACAATTCCAGGGCCTCCCCTGGTGGCACAGCGGTTGAGCGCTGGGCTGTGAAGCTGCTCACAGCCTCTGCAGCGCCAGTTCAATCCCCAGCCACTGGCGAGCATCCCACATGGTAGGACAGACCTCTCCTGCCACGCCCGCTGCTCCCCTCAGCAGTGTACTTCATCAGTCTGCCTGTTCTGTTCCCCACGTGGCTCTGGTGACTTCTCTCACCCTGCTGCGCTTCTGACTGTACCCAGTGATTGTATAAATAAATAAATCTTTAAAAAAAAAAAAAGACAATTTTGGTCCAAATCATAAAAATAACCAAATTCTCATGGATTGGCTATGACTGGAACTTCTTATGAATTAGGTTATTGTTTTTATCTTCTAGAAAAGAATAACAAATGATAGAATTAAGTTTACTTCTTCACAACATCCAGTACAGCCAGAAGCCTCATGTTTCCTTAAGTAGCCATCAAATCACCCAGCAAAAGCCCAAGTTACTTAAGTCCTTTTCAACATCTTTTTTTTTTTTTAAAGATTTATTTATTTATACAAGCACTGGGTACAGTCAGAAGCGCGGGAGGGTAAGAGATTCACCAGAGCCAGAGCAGGGAGCAGAACAGGCAGAAGGACTGAAGTACACTGCTGAGGGGAGCAGCGGGTGGCAGCAGGGGTCTGCACGCCATGTGGGGCCCCCCACCTGGGGGCCGGGGATAGAACCGGCACTGCAGAGGCTGCGGGCAGCTTTGCAGCCAAACACTCAACCGCTGTGCCACTGGGGAGGCCCCTTTTAAACATCTTCTACTGACAACTCCATAGTCATTTAGGACTTGAGATAATTCTTTATAATTCATGACATTACTCTTGTTGACTGCAAGTATGATTCTGGTGGTTTTTGGCAAGATGGTACTGACAAATCAATGAGGAATTATTACTAAAAAGGAATAAAAAATAAAATTCACCCAAGAAAAATCACCTGAACATATACATACAAACTAACATTGAGTAAGAATGTATAATGACTAATGTGACAATTATAAATCCCATAATTACAGTGGGACATTTTAATCTATGTGCTTAGTAAATAAGGAATACAGTATTTGTTAATGTACAATTTTTTTGAAAGCAGCTAATGAAATACTTAAAAGAAACAACCACAGACAAAAATGCATTTTTTAATCATGATAAAAAATAATTGAAAAAGTTCTGAGGAATCACACGGCTCTGAGCAATGGTAAACATCCATAATCTGCCTGATATATAGGTGTTATTCTCTCATGGAAGGAGTGGATCAGAGCAGGTGCTGCAAAGTACAGTAGAGAAACAAACTCCAATGTAGTTCTTTTAGGTAGCATCATTGTAGCTGTCACAGTGGAATCAGAAACAAATGATCACTCTAATAGTATTACAAGAAAATGCTTACTACACAAACTACACCTTATAAATATGATCTAGAGAACACAAAACTTGAATACTGAAATCATGGAACTTCCAATTAGTTGCCTGATGGAAGCATGGAAGCTTGTAGGAAAATACAAATCATGATGAATCTTTGATGTAGAATTTGTGAAGGTATGTATGGAAATCTACATCTCTGAGAAAAAGTCTAGCAGTTGATTGTGGTTTTGAGTACTCTTGATTGGCAGGGCAAGGAATCACGAAAATAGGCTAGAAGCAGGAACCCAAAAGCTCCTGTGCATCTATCTGTCTCTGTATAGTGCCTTCAAACCTTGATTGATTACTTCTGTATTCCTACCTCCCAAATCTCCATTGGAATCATAAAATAAGGAGATTCTAGAAAATGTCACATTACTCAGTAGACAAAACAAAATCAGGAAATCCATCTCCAATTTTGTATTTTATTGTCCAATGACAAGTCTATCTTTGTGCAAAATTTATTATCCAAATTCCAGCCAGAAGGAATAACAAAGAGAAAAGAAAAAAAGGTGGAAATAATTTACATGAATCTATATATATGATAACTTTGTATATTTACAAATTTATGCCATCTTAATTATTAGGAAAAAAGAATGTATTTAATGGGTAATGGAATATCCAGTTTCTGGAACAGGAGGCTAGCAGGAAAATCTCAATATCCCAGATGTCATTTATCAATAGCCCCTTATTTACAAAAAGAATTAAAACATAAAAATTAAACCTACTTACATATTAGAAACACACTTCAATCCATTCATGGATCAAACAGGCTCCAAAATGGAAAGAGAAAAATTTACTGATTTAAGAAGCAACCAATATCTATTAATCTTATGTTTGCTTAAAGAATATTTACAGAATTATCTCACTTCAGTGTTCACTCTTGAAAGTAAGTAGTAAATGTTCACAGTCCAGAGATCCACATTAAGAATGAGGCACTGATAAAGACAATGTATTTATAATTTTTATAGTGATTCTCATAATTTTCTGGAACACCATATCTGGATTAATTTGACTCAGGCTTTCTGTATTTATAGGATTTCTTCCCAGTGGATATTTTCACATCTAAGGCTGAAAGGTCAACTGATGGTGTTTGCACACTGCTTTCATTTAAAAGGTTTCTGTTCAGTATGAGATTTTTCATGCCTTCGAAAGGAATTGGGACGACTGAAGGCTTTCCCACATTCTTTACATTTATATGGCTTCTCACCAGTGTGCATTCTCATGTGTCCTCTAAAGGTAGTACGATAAATGAAGGCTTTTCCACATTCCTTACATTCATAGGGCTTTTCTCCAGTATGTGTTTTTTCATGTGTTCGAAAGGAAGTGTAACAACTGAAGGTTTTACCACACTGTTTACATTCATAGGGCTTCTCTCCTGTGTGAGTTCTTTCATGTATTCGAAATGAACTGGGAAAATTGAATGCTTTCCCACATTCCTTACACTTATAAGGACCATCTCCAGTGTGCATTATCATGTGTGTTCGAACACTTGAGGGAGAAATAAATGCTTTCCCACATTCTTTACATTTATAGGGTTTCTCCCCAGTATGCTTTCTCACGTGTCCTTGAAAGGTTGTTCGATAAATGAAGGTTTTCCCACATTCTGTACATTCATAGGGTTTCTCTCCAGTATGAGTTCTTTCATGTATTTTAAAGGAACTGGGCCAACTGAAGGTTTTACCACACTGTTTACATTCATATGGCTTCTCTCCAGTGTGAGTTCTTTCATGTGATCGAAATGAACTGGGACAAATGAATGCTTTTCCACATTCCTTACACTTATAAGGTCCATCTCCAGTGTGCGTTATCATGTGTGTTCGAATACTTGAAAGAGAAATGAAGGCTTTCCCACACTCTTGACATTCATAAGGTTTCTCTCCAGTGTGAATTCTTTCATGTATTCGCAAACCTAGAGGAGAACTGAAGGTTTTCTCACATTGTTTACATTCATATTGTTTCTCTGCACTGTGTGTCCTTTCATGTCTTCTAAAGGAACTGGGACAACTGAGGGCTTTACCACATTGCTTACATTCATAAGGTTTTTCTCCATTGTGATTCCTTTCATGTATCTGCAAGCCTAGAGGAGACCTGAGAGATTTACCACACTGTTTACATTCGTAGGGTTTCTCTCCAGTGTGAGTTCTTTCATGTGTTCGAAATGAGGTGGAACAACTAAAGGCTTTCCCACATTCTTTACACTTATAAGGTCCATCTCCAGTGTGTGTTATCATATGTCTTCGAAAGGTTGTGAGCCAAGTGAAGGCTTTTCCACATTCCTTACATTCATAGGGTTTTTCTCCAGTGTGAGTTCTTTCATGTCTGTGAACAGATTTTCGGTAACTGAAGGCTTTCCCACATTCCTTACATTTATATGGTTTCTCTTCATATTCATGATACTCATATGGTTTGTGTCCAGTGTGAGATCTGATGTGCCTATTAAGGAATGAATGATGCATGAAGGCTTTTCCACACATAGTACATTCACACAATTTTACTCCAGAAGTTTTCTTATGCAGATTAAATTTTGGAATCTGGCTGACAGTTTTTCCACATTGACTACCTTCCTTGCTTTCACAGAGTTTTTCTATCATATGACTTCTGTGAAAAATGAGAAGCACATTATTAATGATGTCTTTAAAATTTTGTATTTATTAGAGGACAATCAAATTACATTTTTATAATTAAAGCAAAAGTAAAGATTTTTTGCCCTTTCTAAACTGTTTAATAGGGAATATACTGAATGTTATGCAAGAAACCATAGCTATTATGAATACAATGATATTAATATATGGAGATTCTTAAAACTGATTCCAAGTGAATAATTTTGCAAAACAGTATGTCTCATTTAAGTAAATATTTTTGGTACAAAAAATTAAGGGGGTTACTTTATTGTTTTAAAAAAGCCACGGCATGTTTAAATTCTTACATGTGGGACAACACAATCTGTTGTGTGACTCACCTTAGTCTTCTTCCCTGGTTGTTGTACTGATCTTTAGTATTATGATCCTCCCAGTTTTCTCCTAAAATACAGACCCAAAAAATAATTACGAGTTATTAAAAATTATATAAGCATTATTAGATCCTAGGTCCATGATAAGCTGTAACCATGTTTAGTTTATTTACCGATGTATTCCTTTTCTGCATTCCAGATCTTGGAATAATGTTGATGGGCAAGGAACACTTGTTCTCTAACTGTTGAAGCAGAAGAATGTTATCATCCTTACCTATTGAGGCCAGGTTTCTATAGGTTTCCCGCATCACATTTCTGTAAAGTTTCTTCTGTGAAGAATCCAGTAAAGCCCACTCCTCCAGGGTGAAGTTCACAGTCACATCCTTGTAGGTCACTGAATCCTAAAACACCCCAAATATGTGTACAGTAGGATGTGTGAGTTTGAAGCACTGGAGATTTATACTTAATTTATAGGGAGGTTATGTATGATTCTGTGACCTCCAAATATTTATTTTGTTTGGTCACCAGAAACTCTGTCCACCCATACTTTCTCATAAATTTAACAACATCATGAACACATGCAAATTATATATGCATTTTTACTGCAACCACTGTTATTAGCAGAATCTATACCACCTTAGAAAGGTGAGAGAAATGCTATACAAATAAAACTCCCTCCTATTACCTGCCATTTAGCTCAGGTCTCCATAACGTATGGGGCCAAGCCTGCAGCTGGTTAGATAAACATTGTCTTATGAAGTAATACTTTAAACTTGTGTGTTATTTCTATGTCTTCCCATTCTTTCTCTGGCCCATTTCAGAGTTACAAAGTTACAGGTGTCTCCCACTTTTCAAAAGAGAGTATTATGCCATTTCACTTTTAACAAAAGACCTTTATTAATTAGTATCTGATTTTGCAGTGCAAAAGATGTCTGAAGGTTTTGCTTGTACTATAGGTTAAAAGTGAAAATAGCATGCCATGTTTGTTTGATGGTGAGCCATTACAGAGGTAGCATATACTCTGAGCAGTGAGAGTGGCACAGTCATTGGTGGTGAACATAACATGCATACTCAGCAATGGTTTCCTCCAAAAGAACATTCCTCCAAAAGAAAATTTCCATTTTCAAATTTAGCCACTTTAGAGGTAGCCCTATCAACTTCTCTCTCCTCTGATATATCCCATATGGTGCACAGAAGTTTAAAAGCCCAACCTGAGTATAGGAATCCCTAAGTTGATAGCACACATTGACCATAGTGAATGAATGGGTTTATTACCTTCATAATTGAGGTTTCTTAGGAAACTTCTCCAGCAGGCATGAAATTGAGAGTAAGGAAAGACATATGGACTACTTTAAAAATTAAGTGTGTAGGTGAACTAAAGTGAGAATATACATACAAGGGCAGGAGCTCATGTGGACTGAATCACTGTGACAAAGGAAGAAACACTAAGGCTTTCTTATTGCCTTGGATATATGTGGGTCACACACACAAAAGGAGTGGTGAGGCTTCAAAGCTGTCAGCAGTTAAACATCAGAAATCAGAGTCAGAGATTTGTCTGTCATAATGAACTTAGAAGCAACCATTCCCAAACTCGTAAGAAAAAAGCAAAAAAATTTAGAGTGAACAACTATTCTTTGATCAGCAAATAACTGAGGTCACAGGGAAAACCAGTGTCTAAAAAGTTGAAGAAACAGAAAAGCTATTTTGAAATATGCCTAGAATATCCTGTTCTAACACTGTCTTCAAAAGAATTGCATCAGGGCCTAATGCAAAGTCAAAAAAAAAAAGAAAATGCAAGAACTTTTGGGAACTGAGAGCAGGTATAAAATACACATAATGGGAGTACTAAGAGACTGCTGTTGCAACTGACTACTGTTATATTTCTGGAAGGATTGCAGCATCAATAAACTTGCTGGGGCTTGGGATGATGTTACCAAGGAGTCTATACGTGGCATCTGAACAAAGTCACTCAAGAGGTTTATATGATTTCAGAGGATTTGCCAAGGATAAGTAGATTTCAAAAGTCAGCAAGGATGTGATTGAGATAGTAAGCTACTTTAACTTGAAGGTGTGAATGAAAATGACATTGAGTTCCCAGAGGCCTTTCCTGAAGAACTGACTAATGAAAGGTTGTTGGAATAGGAACTTCACACATTGTTGAGGAAGAGTCAAGAGAAAAGGAAAGTGCAGGACAAAAAGAGCCCTAAGAAAACGCACAGTGAAGGGTTTAGGAGAAGTTTTTATAGACCTCAGCAAATTCCTTAAAAAGTCCGACAACATGGACTCCAATACTGAAAGGGCTTATAGGGACTAATGTTAATGGTGTATTATTTACTTCCAAGGAAAATATGGAACAAAAACAAGAAAGAAACCAAGAAAACCACCATGGACTTATTTTTGAAGACAGTGTCACATCCTTAAGAAGAGTCTTGGGCAGGTGTACCTTAGAATATATAGCAGAGAAAGGCTCTGCTCTCACAGTAGATGACAGCTCCATGCAAATGATGCCCCTGAAGACCCTCCAGTAGAGAGATGTGGAGTGTAAGGCCCCTGTGTAGGTTGAGGCTAATGTGCGTTTGTGTCTCAGTTCTTAATAAATGTTTAAAAAAATTTTTAAATAGGGTCTCCCCACTGGTGCAGCGGTTGAGCGCTGGGTTGTGAAGCTGCTTGTGGCCTCTGCAGCACCGGTTCGATCCCCGGCTGCTCCCTGGCCACCGGAGGAGGGTCCTACATGGTGCGCAGACCTCTCCTGCCGCCCGCTGCTCCCCTCAGCAGTGTACTTCGTCATTCTGCCTGCTCTGCTCTCCGCTCTGGCTCTGGTGAATTCTCTCACCCTCCTGCACTTCTGACTGTACCCAGTGCATGTATAAACAAAAACAAACAACCAAATAAATAAATAAAACATGCCTCTAAAAAAAAAATTAAAAATAGAAAAAAATCTTATAGAATAAGAATATAAAGAAAAATATTTTTGTAGAAGAGCCAAAAGGTTAAAAGAAAAAAAAGTAAGCTAAAGTTAATATATTATTGAAGGGAAATATCTTAAAATAAATTCAGTATAATCTACTTAGTGTATATAAAGTCTACAGTTGCGCACATAATGTTCTAGGAGCATCCTAATTATTCACCACTCAGTGACTCACCCAGAGGAAGAGTCTAATAGTGGGTTCTGGAAGTCACTTCTAGTCCTGCAAGCTCCATTCATAGTAAGTATCCTATATAGAGATACACCATTTTAAATCTTCCATAACATATCTATATCTGTATCTATCCAAAAGGCAGATTTATTATAAAAAGGGAGAAAAGAGTAAAGGACATTTGCTGTGATACAAATGGGCAGAAAGAGCTATCCCTGAAAGGGGCAGGTTTGTTTAAAGAGAGGCTTGCATAGTCACAGGCAGGCAGCCTTGAGAGAAGAGCTGCCCCTACTGCTTTGCAAAGGGAGGAGGTCAGTGAAGAGAAACTCTTGCATAGTCACAAGCAGGCAGGTGAGCTCTGCATATACCGTATTTTTTATGTCAATGTCTACATATATTTAAATACACAAATGCCATTACATTACAGTCACCTACAATATTGAGTATAGTAACATGTAGTACAGGTTTCTGGCCCAGGTGTGCAGTGGGCTATATCATCTAGGTTTGTGTAAGTGCACTCTATGACATTTGCACAATGATGACATAACCCAGTAATGCATTTCTCAGTGACACTTGGCTAAAGTAATACAAAAGTTCCAGCAGGCAGAAAATCGCAGGACATAGGTGAATTAAACAACACCATCAATTATTTCATCCAGCTTCATCCAAACACAGCAGAAAATATACATTCTTTTCAAGTTCACATTCACCAACAAACCATGTTACGAGAAGCAAAACACATTTAACAAGTTTGAAAGAACAGAAATCACAGAAAAGAGCTTTAATACCACAATAGCACTAACCAATAATAGGAAAATAGTTGGAAAACCCCCACACATGAACAAATTAAACAGTACTTCCAGATAACACATGGGTTCAAAGATGTAGCTAGAGAAGTGCAAGATTATTTTGAATAAAATGAAAACAACATATCAAAGGTTGTCTGATGCAACAAAACTAGTGTGAAGAGGTAACTTTTACTATTGAACACATAAAGCAAAAGAAAGAACTGCAGTCAGTAATGAGGAAACAGCAAAGAGAAAATTAAACTCAAGAAGCAGAATAAAAGAAACAATCTAGTTCATGATGGTAATGTAAGGTCCTGAACTTACTGCTACATATGGGACAATTTCCTTGGAGAAAAACACAACTAACTTGGTACCTCCTGCCATGTCTGGCGAATAAGAAAAAATAGCCACATCAAAGCAGATAGGCAAGGCTGAGAAATAATCTTGCCATAAATCCCAACCCTGGCATGGCAACCAGCAACTGGGAGACAGCACAAAATCCTAAGCATCCTGAGCAGTTATGGTTAAAACTGGCACCCCAAGTTTTAACATCTGCATCTGAATACAAGCCCCCCAAACATCTACCTTTGAAACCAATGAGATCTGCAACTACAATATCTACAAGGCTATAGTGATGAGAAACAATCCTTAATGTATGCACTCACCCAACCCTGGGCCCAACAAAGAGGCAGTCAACTGAAAAGCACCCAGACTTTCTGTGAAAGTGGCTAACTTGTGTATATTCATACATCAGCCCGACGTGTTCTTTTTTGGGGGGTATATTGATACATTCTCCAAGGACAGACACTGGCAGATGCCATTCTCTTTGCAGCTTACTACTATCTCCTGAGAAGTGCCTTTACACTAAACCCATGCCCCTCCTTTGGCTCGTACTGCTCAGAGTACATCTGGTTCTGATGACCAACAGGGCTTTCATTGATCCTATCAAACTGTAACATGGAGTGACTTTTTTGGTTTTTTTTTTTTGTTTAATCACTTTTTCATTATTATAAATTTTATTTTTATATTCCCCATACAATTGCAACCCCCTTATTTTGACCCCAATCCCTCCCCTCTCCGCCCCCCACCCTCCATAGAGTGTCTCTGGTTCATAGTTGTTTGTTGATTTTGATTTTTACTGTCTTATAGTTATTCTTTTTCCTGGTCCCTTATTTAAGTTTTCTAGATTCCTGCTATGAGTGAGACCATCCGGTATTTTTCTTTTTATTTCTTGCTTATTTCACTGAGCATGATCCCTTCTAGCGCTATCCATGCTGCTGCAAATTGCATGTGTTTATCTTTTTTGAATGCTGAGTAATATTCCATGGTGTATATGTACCACATCTTCTTGATCTAGTCATCTATTTTCGGGCATTTGGGTTGCTTCCAAAGCTTAGCTATTGTAAATAGTGCTGCTATAAACATAGGGGTGCAGGTGCTCTTTGGAATTGATGTTTCTGTGTCCTTTGGGTAAATACCTAGGAGTGGAATTGCTGGATCATATGGAAGCTCTGTTTAAGTAGGTCAGATCTCCACACAGCTCTCCATAGTGGTTGGACCAGTTTGCACTCCCACCAACAGTGCAGGAGAGTTCCTTTTTCTCCACAACCTCGCCAACATTTGTTGCTAGTTTTTTTAATATGTGCCATTTTCACTGGTGTAAGATGGTATCTCATGGTAGTTTTGATTTGCATTTCCCTGATTACAAGTGATGTTGAACATTTTATTATATGCCTGTTGGCCATTTGCATTTCCTCTTCAGAGAAGTTTCTTTTTAGCTCTTCTGCCCATTTTTTGACTGGCTTATTTTCTTTGTTTTTGTTGAGTCTCATCAGCCCTTTGTAGATTTTTGTGATCAGTCCTTTATCATTAGTGCTGTGTGCAAAAATGTTCTCCCAGTCGGTGGGGTTTCTTTTTGTTTTTGTTATTGTATCTTTTGCTGTGTAGCAGCTCTTTAATTTGATGTAGTCCCAGCTGTTGATCTTTGCCTTCACTATCACTGCTTTGGGTGATGTGTCTGTAAAGATGTCTTTGATGTACATATCATGTAGTGTTTTGCCTATATTTCCTTCTATGTATTTTATGGTTTCAGGTCTTATGTCTAGTTCTTTAATCCATTTTGAGTTGATTTTTGTGTATGGTGTGAGGTAGTGGTCAAGCTTCATTCTTTTGCATGTAGCGACCCGGTTTTCCCAGTACCATTTATTGAACAAACTTTCTTTGCTCCAATGCATAGTCTTTGCTCCTTTGTCAAAGACTAGTTGACCATAAATCTGTGAGTTTATTTCTGGATTTTCTATTCGATTCCATTGGTCTGTGTGTGTGTTCTTGTTCCAATACCATGCAGTTTTGATGATTATGGCTTTGTAGTAGAGTTTGAAGTCAGGGCGTGTGATGCCTCCATTCCCTTCTTTTTTTTTCAGGAGAGCTTTGGCTATTCAGGGTTTTTGGTGATTCCATATGAATTTCATCAGTAATTGTTCTGTTTCTTTGAAGAATGACATTGAAATTTTTATTGGAATAGCATTGAATCTGTATATTGCTTTTGGTAGGATGGCCATTTTAATAATGTTTTTTCTTCCAATCCATGAGCAGGGGATGTCTTTCCATTTCTTTGTGTCTTCTTCTATTTCTTTTAACAGTGTTTTATAGTTTTCTTTGTATAGGTCCTTTACCTCTTCTGTTAGATTTATTTCCAAGTATTTGATTTTTTTTTTGTTTTGATAATAAAAGGGATGGTTTTTCTGATTTTTTTCTTCTTCAGATTTATTGTTTGTGTATAGGAAGGCTACTGACTTTTGAGTGTTGATTTTGTATCCTGCCACTTTACTGAATTGACTGATGAGTTGAATTAGTTTTTCTGTGGAGTTTTTGGGGTTCTCTATGTATATTATCATATCATCTGCAAATAGTGATAGTTTGACTACTTCTTTTCCTATTTGGATTCCTTGTATGTCTTTCTCTTGTCTTATTGCTCTGGCTAGGGCTTCCAGTATTATATTGAAAAGCAGTGGTGAGAGTGGACATCCTTGTCTTGTTCCAGATCTTAGTGGAAATGCTTTCAGCTTTTCACCATTGAGAATGATACTGGCTGTTGGCTTGTCATAGATGGCCTTTATGATGTTGAAGTATGTTCCTTGTATCCCAAGAATTTCAAGGGCTTTTATCATGAATGGATGTTGCACTTTGTCGAAAGCTTTCTCAGCATCTATTGATATTATCATATGGTTTTTATATTTCTTTTTGTTGATGTGTTGGATAATGTTGATTGATTTTCGGATGTTGAACCATCCTTGTGTCCCTGGCATGAATCCTGCTTGGTTGTGGTGAATTATCTTATGGATACATGGTTGGATTCTGATAGCTAAAATTTTATCGAGGATTTTTGCATCAGTGTTCATTAGTAGGCCTGTAGTTTCCCTTTTTTGTGTTGTCCTTGTTCAGTTTTGGTATTAGTGTAACGTTGGCTTCATAGAATGTGTTTGGTATTGTCCCTTCTCAATTTTTTGGAAAAGTTTGTGAAGGACAGGCACTAATTCATCTCTGAATGTTTGGTAGAATTCATTTGTAAATCCATCATGTCCTGCGCTTTTGTTTTTGGGGAGGGTTTTGATTACCATTTCAATTTTGCTGCTAGTAATTGGTCTGTTTAGGTGTTCTATTTCTTCTTTATCTAGCTTTGGGTGATTGTAGAGTTGTAGGAATTTGTCCATCTCCTCTAGATTGTTGAACTTGTTTCCATATAACTGTTCATAGTAGTTTCTGATTATTCTTTTGATTT